CTCCTCTGTCCAGCCATTCAGCTGAACCCAGGGACCACCTCCTAAACGTGAGGTGCTGGGGAACCACAGTATAGCAGCACAATAAGGGTTACAAGGGGGACACCCAGGGCCAAGGTTCTGCTTGGTTTGGGGAAGTGGGAGGAGGTTCCACGTGGAGGAAACAGCCTGTGCGGACCCACCTGAGGCTTCCTGCCCGTGGGCTAGGCCTTTCCCGGGTAAGGGAGCACAGGGTAAAGGCCAGGCAAGAGCTCCGCTGGACTCTGCCCCAAAGTTGTCTGGTGACCTTGGTATGACCCTGCCTTAGTTTCCCCATGAAGGCCCCAAGGGACTCAGACCGAATGATGTGGCCCTCTTCCCTCCCTCCCCCAGCCCCTTCCTCCACGGGCGGCCCCAGCTGAGCAGGGCCCACAGGGTAGAGGTAGGGGGTCTAAATCTGGGACCTGTGAGGGGAAAGGAAGAACAGAAGGGGGTGACTCCCTAGGGCGGGCCAAGACCCACAACTGGGGAAACAGGTTTGCCAGCTGATGTCAGCTCTCACTTCTGCAGGGAGGGGCAAAGGTGTTGGGGGAGCCTTCTGGCTGGGTGGACAGACAGCTCAGGGGTCTCTTAATACCTTTATCAGTTCAACCCTTTTCCTTTTCTTATCCCCTTCCCCCAAGTACACACACACTTGGTCCCTAGAAGGGCCCCAAGTGACACAGCCACTGTTCCCTTACGGGGAGCCAGCACAGAGGGGTGGGGACAGTGTTCCGGGAGCAGGAGCAGCACCGAGTGGGCAGGAAGGCCGTGCAGAGCTTCCTCTCCCCAGGCGGCCTGGCCCCGCCTGGCTCCCAGGCCACACTCACATCCTGGATTTGTTTGCCAGGCCCCAGGCTACCCCCTGCCTGTCCAGGCATCGGACTAGAACCGGCCAGAATGTGCCCCCTACCCACCCCCTGAGGTGAGGAGCTGGGGGGCGGGAGAACCTGCACAGATAGGCGCTAAACACCTGAGGGAATAGGGGGCTGACCACTTGCAGAGGTCATCTAGAAGCAGTAGCGGACGCACCCTGTCCCAGCAGCATGCCACCCAGCCTGGCGATCCATCGTTAACATCCTTCAGACCTGGTCACAGGTGAAGAAACTGAGGACCATGGACCTGCTCATGGCCACAGGGGCAATCAGAGGCATGAGGGCCAGGGGCAAGATTTCCTTCTGGATCTTTTGCTCCTTTACAAAGACCAAACCTTGGAGATGGAGACAGAGTCTGGGGTGAGGGAACCCAATGGGGCCAGGGAAGCAGGAGCCTTCTCCAGTCTGGACCAGCCATACTGGCTACCCCTCTGCAGGGCACAGGCCACTCCTAAGGTCGGGGCTGTACCAAATTTACGGATGGGAAGCTCAGAGATGTAAAGAGCTTGTCTGGGTCACACCAGAGAAAGACTCTACTCCATATACTGCCTCCTGCCAGGGGCCTGGACCTCTCCCTGCCTGAGTGGGCCCAAGAAGCTGTGGCCCTTATGGCCTGGATTCCACGTCCCTGGGGCCCCAGACATGGCCTGTAGTCCTGGGAGAGCGGGACAGCCTCCTCACAGAGGGCCAGCTGATCTGAGCATGAACTCCCTCCCACCCCCCGCCAGTGACAAGATCAGGGGCACACAATAGTTCATTGTGCCCAGGGCGCACCTGAGCCAGGAGCATGATGCCAAGCAGGTGCAGGGAGGGAGGCTGGTGCAGGGCTAAGGGGAGGGGACATTATCCTGGTATTACTCCCTGCTGTGGACGCAGAAGAAAAGTGGGGGCTTATGTGCACGAGACACAGAGTTCTGGGGACACCATTTTTCTCAGCTCTGATGGACACCTCAGTCAGTCATTCTTCACCTTCTGAGGCCACTTGAGGCAGCCTCTGAGACAAGGCGGGGAGCTCAGGAGGAAAGGGCTTCCCTCCATCCCTTTGGAACATTCCTGCGAGCTCTCCCCCCTACCGCCACGCTCTGCATCTAAGGCAAATCTTTTCCTCGGCCAGGACGCAGGGCCGCTTGGGGTCAGACAGAACCTCATCGCTGCCGGTTCTCTGGGGAAGGGGTGGTGGCAGAGTTGACTCAAGTCTACTCGCAGTAGGGACGCTTCCACTGCATACCCCCAGCTTACTCAGACTCTAGGGCCCTGGCCACCCAAGGGGGCCACACCCACAGGTGGAGCAAGGCCCAAAGCAAACTAAGCCTCTCTGCTCCTCCCGACCATGCCAATCTTGCATTTTGTTTCCGGTCCTCAGTTTCCCCATCTGTAAAAAGTGAAAGTGCCGGGTCGTCTTGGTCCAAGCCCTACTCCTCCGGCACGACTGAGGCTACGCGGTCCCCATCCAAGAGGTTCTTATGAGGTGCGCGCTCGCGAGGGTAGTCCCCCAGGTGTAAGTCCCAGTGGCACCGGAGGGTCCGGGGTGCACGCGTGTGTGCGGAGCCCGAGCACGCCCAGCGCGCGCGCATCTACACGGTCCCGGCGGCGCGGGGCGCAGGTGCAGCTGGCGCGGGACACGCGGAGCTAGGGGCACGGCGGACGCGGGGCGGGGCAGCCTCACCTGTGTGGAGTACAGCAGCCACAACTCGTAGAGCCGCTCCGAGGCGGCCATGGCCCGGCCCGGCTCCGGCCCTGCTGCGCGCCACCTGCCGCCGCCGCCTCCTCCGCGCCGCCCGCCGGTTGCCCTCGGCCAGGCCCATGGGCGGAGGGCGTCACTCCGGGGCGGAGCGGCGCGGTACTACTGGGGTAAGTAGTACTGGCCCCCGCCGCTCTGAGCCACCCAGATCTGCACGCCCCTCCTCCCGACCGACCGCCGCCCGGCTTCCTGCACTTAGCTGCCTCCACCGCCGCCCCGCCCCTCCTGGGACCGTGCAAAGGGCGGGGAGCTGGGCGGAAGGAGGTGCCTGGGGCCGTGGAGGGCGCCCCATAGCCCCGCCCTCCGCAGTCCGCCCCCTGCCAGTGTCTTGGAAAGGGCAAATCTGAGCGCTGACGGGTGGCAGGGTCAGGGATTCCAGACTTGTTCTGGGCCCAGATACGCCTAGGACACTGCCCGTCTGGCTGGAATTGCCACCATTCGTGCAAGGGAAAGGCTCGCAGGGTGAGGGGAAGGGGCTGCGGGCCGTGGGTAGTGCCCAGGGTCCTTCAACAAGTAATGATAACATTAAGCGTGACGACCACTTGTAGAGCTTACCACGTGGCAGGTGCTGTTCTAAGCGCTTTATGAAAAAGGCCGAAGCCATACTTTTTTGCGTCTACTGTTTGTGGAGCAGGATGGGGATCAGAGGACAGCAGGGCACGCCTGAAATAACTTCTGGGAGGAGCAGTGCCCTCCATCTGTCGGGCAGATCCCTGGGAGATTTAGCCAGTCCTTGGCGGTGCTCTCCTCCAGGAAGCTTTCCTAGATGCTCTAGAGAAAGCACCCCGCCCCGCTCCAGGGTTCAGCACTTACTTCACATCTTTTGTTTTCTTTAACCTTAAGAGGTTAAAGGCAAGAGAGTGCCTCATGCCTTTGTTTTACAGAAGGAGAAACCGATTCCCAGATGGGCCATATTAGGACTACCTGGGCAGCTAGGGACGGCCTGGACAGGGACAGAAGCCTGACTAACTCTTAGCTGGGCTGCTGCCACCATGACCCCGAGCCTTCTTTCTTTGGACCCACCTTTCCAGCTGGCCTGGGACGTGAGGGGACCCCCTGGTGTTGGGCAGGGGTCAGGTCCTTTGTTGGCGCTGGGGAGAAGTTTGTGGGCCTCAGAGAGGTGGTAGGGCTTGACCAGTTGTAGGACTTGACCAGCCTGGAGCCCCCCAGACCTTGGGAAGACAGACTTTGTCCCCATCCCCATTCTGTTCTGTCCTTCTGGCTTCTTAGGCAACCCTTCCACTCTGGCCTTTTCTCCTGCCCCATCCATCCTACCACTGAGCTGACATTTCCTAAGTATCTGCTGCATTTATACCAGGCCCCAGCAGGTTACCCACCTGATGCAGGGGATAGAGTACCAAAAGACCCCGGTTAGAAAGGTCAGGAAGGTCGTTTGGGGGGAGCAGGATGAAAGTGTGAGGCAAAGGGGCCTTTGTCTTCCCAGGTGGAAGGAGATGGGGCTTTGGGGACCCCAACATGCTGTCAGGAGATCTTGACCAGCCAAAGGGGTGTCTTGGTTGTCAGGGGATGCTGATCAATACAGGAAAGAAGACCCTGGCAGTTCCTGCTGGAGAGCAGAGCACATGGTGGCCAACTGGTGTGGCTGAGGCCAAACCAACTGTCAGCTTAGTTCTCGGGAACTAGGCTCTAGAGGTTCCTTGAGACCCACTGGGCCCATATTGGGGAATGCTCCTCTGCAGGTGAGGTAGGCTGACCCTGGGTACTTTGCCACTCCAGAGATGTTGGAGGAGGGAGGGGATCACCTATGAGCCCGAATGGAAATGGCCATCCAGGCAAGTGTTGCACTGCGCAGCCTTTGTCTGAGCCGAGAGTGGACACAGAAGAGCCTTGGGACCCATGGATATCCAAGGAGTCACTGATAGGTGGACACCAAGGGAGAGGTAGACCTCTTACTAGGTTGAGGTCGGAGTGGCGAGTGAGAAAAGGCTTCTCTTGAAGGCATTAGAGCCTTGAAGAATTAGAACAAGTGGACAAAGGTTGGGTCAGCTCATTCCAAGTGGCCAGCTTGGAGCGAGCTTTGGTTAGCACTTAGGCAATACCAGAGCGATCGACGCGCTCTATCCTCCTTCACTCAGGTCTATTCCACTTGCTGCTTTCTCACTGATTGGCGTTGGACGCATCAAGCCTTACAGCTTTGCCCGCCTCCTACCGGCTAGGCAAGTTGCAGGAGAGGAAGAGGGCGTGCCCTCCTATAGCAACTCAACATTGATTGGCTTTCAGGACTTCCTGCTCTCTCATTTTCGTCCCTGGATTGGCTGTAAGAGTCATCTACTCATTGGACCTGCGTGGTGGAAAACAAGAGAAGAGGAGGGGGTCGTCGGGCAAGATGGCTGCTATTGCGGCCGGTGTGGGCAGGCTAGAGGAGGAAGCGTTGCGGCGAAAGGAACGGCTGAAGGCCCTTCGAGAGAAAACCGGGCGCAAGGTGAGTAATGCGGAGTGAAGGCCGTGGCTGAGGTAGCCTGCGTTCGGATTAACAAGGAGGAGGGGGCTGGGGACTCCTAGGAATGGCAACTGCCGAGGAGGCGCATGCGCGCGCGACTGGAGCATGCGTGGGGAGCCGGCGCCCGCCCACCAAACCTGGTGCTGGCGCGCGCTGGGCTCTTAAGCGCGTGGGCAGCAGGGCAGTGGTCAGTCGCCGTAGACAGTTTGGTTCTTGCTGGGTGTTTTCCTCGGAGGTCTCTAGAGCCATTTACCGTTTTAGGTGCCGGTTGGTTTAGTCAGAATAGGTTCGCGTCTGAACACGCTGTCTCTTCCGTTTCCCCATGACCCAGCCTCCCGCCCACTTGGAACCCTGGTGAAATTCCAAGAGTCTGGCAGACCCTCCTCAGGGCGCCCAGCCGGAGTCGTTGAGTACAAGAATCCAAAGTGAAAGATCCATTTTTAGGTCAGCGTGGATCTCAGGGAAAGAGGAGGGCGCTTAGCTCTTTCCCAGCCTACTTACCTGGGATGGACCGCCTTAAGCCTATTAGTTGCTATACTTCTGAGCATTTTTTTTTCTTGCTCTTGTTTGACACCAGAATGGTCTGATTCTATTTCTACTCTGTTCATCTTGTCGAAGTAATCGAGAGGAAAGAGAACCCTGACGTTCACTACTTATGTGCAAACCCTGGCCCTTTCCCTTGGGACAGTGGGACCTGGGGACAAATTGCTTCATCGCTGTAAGCCCCGGTTTCTTCATGTCTGGAGTAGAGGTTAACAACCCTTAGACACTCATCCTCATTGGGCTATTTTGAGATCTAACAGGATAATCTGTATGAAAGGGCCCTAGAGACTATCGAGGGGTGGAGGTTGTTGGTTCTGCTCTTGTTGGATGGACAAAACCCCTGTTCTCAACTCTACAAAATACAAAGCACATTAAATATCTAGACCTGCGAGGGATAAGGAGAAACAGGGACTCCACTTTCCAACTCGAAAAAAATCAGGCGGGTCGGGCTAGTCCGTTTGGCCCCTGTTTACTTTTTGCATGGCTGGCCGAGGTTCTTGGGGAAAGCCAAGGCAGGGGTAGTGAAAGCTTGCCAGATTGGCATCTGCTTTTGTTGGCAGCTTGTCAGCACTTCCAGGCAGTTACCCCACTAGCCGCCTGGCCTCAGGAAGCTCAGCCTTCACCCTTCCAGCAGCTGCGCTAGTCAACCTGTATGGTTGGCTTGGGTTTAGGGCCCAGGTTATTGGGACTGGGTTTGAGATCGATACAAAGGACAAGATGGCGCCCACATCCTTAGGGTCTCATCATTTTACATTCCAATTTCTCCACATCTTTGTTAATACCTGTTATTTTCTGCTTTGTTGATTATAGCCATCCTAATGGGTGTGAAGTGGTATCACATTGTGGTTTTGATTTATATTTCCATAATGGTTAGTGATATTGAACATCTTGTGCAGCTGTGGCCATTTGTGAATCTTCAGATAAATGTCTATTCAGGTCCTTTGCCCATTCTTCAGTTGGGCTTGTGTTGTTGTCGAATCGTAGGAGTTCGTAATGTATTCTGTATTAACTCCTTATCAAATACGTGATTTGCAAATATTTTCTCCCACTCCCAAGATTGTCTTTTCACTTTCCTGATAATGTGCTTTGATGCACAAAGTTTTTAATTTTGGTGAAGTTCAGTTTATCTGTCTTTTCCTTTTGATGATCTCACTCTTGGTGTCATACCTAATGAACCATTGTCAAATCCAAGACCACGAAGATTTCTCCTGTGTTTTCCTCTAAGAGTTAAATAGTTTTAGTTCTTATGTTTTGTTCTTTGATCCATTCTGAGTTAATTTTTGTGTATGGTATAATGTAAGGGTCTAATACATTCTTTTACATGTGAATATCTGGCTTTCCCCTTATCAATTGTTGAGAAGACTGTCCTTTCCCTTTTAAATGGTTTTGGCACCCTTGTTGAAAATCATTTGACCATATGTGCGAGATGCTTTTAGGGGTCTGTATGTCTTTCCTTATTCCAGTAGCACATTGTTTTTTGATTACTGTAGCTTTGTAGTAAGTTTTGAAGTCAGAAGTGTTTGTCCTTCAACTTAGTTCTCTTTCAAGATTATCTTGGCTTCTTAGGATCCCTCGAGATTCCACGTGAATTTCAGGGTGGATTTTCTGTTCCTGCAAAAAAAAAAAAAAAAAAAACAAAACCATTGAAATTTTGATAGGCATTGCATTGAATTTGTTGCTTGTTTTGGGTAGTGTTTGCCATCTTAACAATATTTAAGTCTTCCAATCCATGAACATTGGATGTCTTTTAATTTACTTGAGTCTTCAACTTCTTTCAACAGTGTTCTCTAGTTTTCACTGTAGAAGGCCTCCTTGGTTAAATTTATTCCCGAGTATTTTATTCTTTTTTGTGCTGTTGTAAATGGGACTGTTTTCTTAATTCCCTTTTCATATTGTTCATAGTGTATAGAAATGCAACTGATTTTTTTTTCTGTTGACTTTATATCTTGGAACTTTGCTGAATTCATTTATTAGTTCTGACAGTTTTTTGTGGGCTTTTTTGGGTTTTCTGCATATAAAAACATGTTATCTGTGAACAGAGATACTTTTGCTGCTTCTGTTCCAATTGAGATGCCTTTTATTTCTTTCTCTTGCCCTATTGCTCTTGCCAGAAGTTTCAGTAACATGTTGAGTAGAAGTGGTGAAAGCAGACATTTTTTTCTTTCTGCCCTCAGGGAAATGCTTTCAGTCTTTCACCATTGAGTGTGATGTTCACAAATGGGTTCTTCAAATATGGCTTTTGTTGTGTTGAGGAAGTTTTCTTCTATTTCTAGTTTACTGAATTTTTATTGTGAAAGGAAGTTGAATTTTGTCAAATACTTCATCAACTGAGATGAGCATGTAGTTTTTTCCCCTCTTTCTGTTATTGTATCGAATTGATTGAATGTTGTCTGTTGAACCATCCTTGCATTCCAGGAATAAATTCCACTTGGTCAAGGTGTATAAATCTTAATCTGCTGAGCTCGGTTTGCTAGTATTTTATTGAGGATTTTGCATCCATGCTCAGGAGGGATACAGGTCTGTCGTTTTCTTGTAGTGTCTTGGCTTTGGAATCAGGGTAATGCTGACCTCACAGAATGAGTTACAAAGTGTTCCCCCTTCCCTTTTTTTGAAGAGTTTCAGAAGGATTGGCGTTAATTTTAAATGTTTGGTAGAATTTACCAGAGAAGCCATTTGGCCCTGGGCTTTTCGTCTTTGGTAAGTTTTTGATAACTTATTCAGTCTCCTTATTAATTATATGTTTATTAAATTTTTTAATTTCTTTTATGAATCAGTTTCAGTAATTATCAAGGAATTTTTCCATTTCTTCTGTGTTAGCATTGTTGGCATACTGATTGCTACTGTAATTGGGTTTAACCTTCACAGTTCTAGCTTCAGAAAGCTCTTGGCCATGAACTCACTTCTGAAAAATGTGTATTCGGAAATCACATGCCTTCTCTCTTAGAACTGAGAGGTCACTGGCCTTTGGAGTTTCCTTCCATTCTTCTTAAGAAACAAGAATTAACGTGAAGCCACATTCTTGATTCCATTGGAAGCTTTTTCCTTTCCTGGAGTGCCTTTTCTCTCCAGGAGCTCCTAAATTTCCCCCTCTATCTAGTCCTTTCCCTGCTGAGGAAGAGAAGTTTGAATATGTTCTTGACTCTTTAGTTACCAGGCTGTGGTATCAATGGTGGATTAGTAGCAGGTGATAAAGTGTGTGGCTTGGTTCAAAATGGGTCCTTGGAGCTGGTACTTCATTTTTTCTGCAGATGTATACTGAGCACCTACTGTGCACCAGTCATTCAGGAAGTCTAGCAGTAAGTGAACAAAGCAGTCAGGAGTTGCTGCCCCAGCCAGCTTCCATTTAGCTGGAGAGAAGGTAATCAAGCAGATGTACCCAGTGTTAGATGGAGATGGTGCTGTGGCGGAAAGGGAAGAGGGAAAGAGAGATGGGGAGTGCGTAGTGTCCCTGGTAATCTCTGTGGCTCTTAACAGTTTGTCTTTCTTTTTAAAGATTTTATTTATTTACTTTTAGAGAGAGGGGTAAGGAGGGAGAAAGAGAGGGAGAGAAACATCAACAGGTGACCTCTTGCAGGTCCCCTACTGGGGACCTGGCCCACAACCCAGGCATGTGCCCTGACTGGGAATTGAACCAGCAACCCTTTGGTTCACAGGCCGGCACTCAGTCCACTGAGCCACACCAGCCAGGGCAACTTTTCTTTTTTAAAGACAACAGCATTTTCAGATTTAATGTGGTTAACGGTAAAAAAAAAAAAAAAAAAAAAAAGGAGGGTTAATTTATAGGTGAAAGCACTGAGACCAATGAAAGTGAAGTGGTTTGCCCAAGGTCACATAATTAAGAGGTATGCCAGGTGAGTGTTAGGGTTGGAAGGGACCATGAGAACGGGTAGTGACTCTCTTTCTGCACTGACTTGGACTGGTTGCCTAGGTGCCGGGAGGAGGTGGCTTGAGAAATTTTGCTTTACGCTTCCTGATACCCTTTAGGTTTTGTAAATTACCTGCTCAAAAAAAAAAAGTAGTGGTAAAAGAGTATAGGCCCCAAGTACAAGCTGCCCTGTGTACGTGCCTTAATCCCCTTTGGATTCAAATTCTGGCCCTCTTTCCCCCAGGCGAGGACAGGTGTAGGTTTATTTGCCACAATTTCTTCTTTTATTTATTTTTTTAAGTCTTCCCCTGGGAATATGTTTAATTGCTTTTAGAGAAAGAGAGACATCGATATGAGAGAGAGAAACATTGATCTGCCTCCCGTGTGCACCCTGACCAGGGACCAAACCCACAACCTGGGCACGTGCCCTGACTGGGAATCGAACCTGCAACCTTTTGGTGTACGGGATGATGCTCCAATCTACTGAGCCATCGGCCAGGACGCAAATCCTTTTGTACTTACTTTAATTATGGTAAAATATATGTGACATAAAACTTGCCATTTAGCCATTTCT